CACCAGCCATCAAATCTCCCGTTTCAATATTTAATTCGCGGATGTGTTATTAGTGCATATGTATATGTGTGTGTGTATGTATGTGTGTGTGTGTGTATGTGTGTGTGTGTGTGTGTGTATATATATATACACACACACACACACACACACACACACAAATTATCTGGTATATTTAATAACGCCAAGAGAAGCACTTTTATGGTGAATATGAACAGGAGCGATATTATTATTTTTATCTTCTCTATACTATAGTATGAATTGCAATGCTATATATTTATCGGCTAGCAAAGAAACTGTTTATAAAGATATATTGCAAAGTTCATTATGTCAAAAGGCTGGCTCAAGAAGCAATAGTGCCAATGACATTTTCTCTCATCGGCAAGTTGAGCTATTGAAGGGTTCAGTATTTTGGAACTTTTCGATGACCCTAGTTCGCGTGACTTCAACAGGGAAATTAAACATAAGTTCATTTACTGATAAATGTGAAAAAAAAAAATTGTTGATGAAACTAATCGCTCGCTGCAAAAAGTATTGCCATTGACTGAATGCCATCCAAATTATGAATCGTTTGTCACTCTAGAACGCCTTTCAAATACGTAGGAACATATACAAGATGCTATTAATTCATGTCCCCACCAGAGGTTTGAGATTTTAAAAATATTAGACTTATAAAATTAAACAAACTACGTGTGAGTGATTAAGTTGAATGATTAAAAATAATGAGCTCACTATGTTTAATTAATTAAGAAATAGATAAAGAAACCATCTTTACACCTGCAAATGCTAAGCAGGCATTTAATTAATTAATATGTTAATAAATTTCTTGTTAATCCGTCTTCAATTTCCAAATTAAAAATTGAATCATAATCAAATGGTTAATTTTTAATAAATATATAAAACTCTCCATTTTCTTTTGCATATCATTCTGTTTAAGGCTGGTATTATGCATCCCATATTTTAAAAGTTTGTTACTTGTTCTATAAAAAAGTTTTCAATGATTATTTGGAGCGAATCATTTCCTTTCCTTTGATTTCATTATATTGTTTTTGTTTTTTGTTGTTGTTTTTTACTTTCTCACCTAAACGTGTGTAAGGAGTAAAGGTGTGGTAATTGTGTGCCAGAAAATGGCGAATTTTCGAGAGAAGCTCTTATCGTCGGGCCCTGGTAACAAAAAAGTAGATAAATCCTCTTCCTATGTAGAGTAAATTACTTCCTCTAATCACATTTTGTGGAACCTTGTCACTGAAATATAGATTGACAGCAAAGCTATCCTACACGCTATCAGAGGACAAAATTTAATGTAAAAATTACAAGCTAATTTTGAAAGAATATTGAAAGTGTTTTGGAGGCCTTATGTAAAGTAGCGTTGACTGAGGGGCAGACGCTTTGAGAAAAAAAAAAAAAAAATTCTCTATAATATTGTACATATTACTCTGTATATATGTACGTTTATTAGAGAGTTCAAAAAAATTGTAATTTGGGCAGCGATAGATGGCAGCTGGCAGGAGTCTGTGGCAAGATCAAAAAAGGTAGACCAGACTAAATAAATTAGACAAGTACTGTGCCACTCTGTAGCACTACTAATTTGGTTTTATCGCATTTTAACTTTCATAACTGGAATTTTTTTTTTTTTATCTCTGTCTAATACATTTTTACGTAATACATATTTTCATGTTGCACTGCAATGTGACCCAGCAATGTAGCAATTTTCTTTACAGGAAAACTCGTATAGTTAGTTGCTGATATCGGGAGAGCAGATAATTTTTGCTCCATATGTAGAAAATTATGCCGATACTAATTGTTGGGGGAGTTCTTGACTGCTTTCAAGTACTTATTCCCAAAGCTTCACTAGAGGCTGAATTTTTTGTCTGACAGTTAGGCAACCCCTCATTTTTTGCGCTTTAATTTTGTTAACGACCAAATTTATAATTTACTGGGCAATGGGATTTTGTAAATGGCCTTATATTACTATAAAATGCATGGTATAAGGAGGGCTGTTTTCAATTACAACTCTTTTATGATCACTTGTTTTGGCAGGTGATGGTAGACTAATGTAGAATGTAAATTTCATAAACTAATTAAAACTAATAATTATGAATTTGGAGTTTGACTCTCAATAAAAAAGTAATAAAATCTTTTCTTTTAGCTCCTATCTGTTGATGCAGGGGCTCGATGGAGAGAAGAAAATGTGGAGACGTCACCCATTTATACCAACAAAGACATTGACCGCCTCATTTCGGAAACAGAAAATGTTGTGACCCAAGGACTAGAGGCGGGAAATCGACAGAGAGCAATGAAGCGGCTTCGGGTACCACCACTAGGGGAACAGCAAAGCCCATGGACAACATTTAAAGTTGGATTGTTTTCTGGATCATTTATTGTCCTCTTTTTAGCTGTTGTTCTGTCAGGTGAGCACTGTTTTGACAGTAAGATTGACATTTTTTAAAAATTATATTATATTAATTATGGAAAATTGGAGGAATTTGAAACCTAAAAATCTCACTGAGTTTGCTACGAAAACTGTGTCCTCTATTATCATGTAAAAGTACCACCTGAGATGTATGAAAATAAAATTTGCATGTTTTCACTTACATTGACCATTAAAATATTAAGCAAATAAATAGATTAGGTCAAAGTATGTTAGATTCATGGGAAGTAGTAAGACAACAAAGTGCGTGGGTATTAGATTGCTAGGTCGGACCCAAATGAAACATTTTGACAGATTCGGGAGAGAGAGGGGAGGGACCATAGGAGAAAGAGTGAATGGAGAGAGGGACAGAGCGATGGAACAATCCAAGGGATGAGAGGGGGAAGGGGCGAGCTGAGGCAAGTGGGGGAGTGAGGGAAGGGTAGTGTGTGAAGGGAGAGGAAATGAAGAAGAGGAAGAGGAAGGAAGTGAATGGGTTTAAGGGAGAAATTGTTCAGGCCTTTGGCCTTTTTAAGAATTACACTGAAAATCATTTTTGAACATTTTCATATTTCAAAGCATGAATGTGCTCTCCACATCATCTGGCAAACATGTATACGGCTTAACATGAAGTCAATGGAATTTATTAGCTGTATCATTAAATTTATAATTCCATTCCTCTTGTAGTAATGTTTCATTTATTGACTTATAATTTGTCATGCAAATAAAAAAGTTGAATTGAAAAGGGGTCCCAGAGATGGAAGTTGTCACCACCCCCTTCAATTTTAGGCTGTGCACTCCTATGACACTGACGATATGGTTCCATGTAGTAATACTATATTCAGACAATATCAACTTTCCAAAACTTTCAGTGTAAATTATCTATAGTGGCTAGAACGTAAGCAAAATGAGGGGTGCCATGACCCTTCCCTTGGGTAAGTTTTTGTAGATGGGATTTTGTTACCTGAAATGATTTTAGATAGATTTTTTTATGCCTGAAATTATATTAGACAGAATCTGATTCTTTGTCAAAAGTCTTGTTGGACAAAAGAAGTGATTGGTTCCCCTTTAGACAATGTTTGGATCCTCCCTTAGTCAGAGTAAGATGCCCTCTCCGCCAAATAGCAATCAGTTCTTGTAAACCGAGTTCTAAATTGCCCAAAAAGAAAAAAAAAATTTTTTTTGGTCATTTGTAAACAATTAAAACAATTTTGGGAACCACTCTCAGAACACTTAAGCTTAGCTGACTATCATCACACAAATCAATTTTTGAAGGGAGCGCAGTAAAAATATTTTCTCTAGGCAACTCCTCTTCACTCATTGAACATAAAAATAATTTACATAGTAAAGAGACTGTTCGTCACCTTCGTATGGAAAAGAGGAGGGAGAGACATGCCCTTTCACTCGGATTTCCACCAGTCCATATTGTGGGATGAGAATATGCTGTGTCTCTGTCCACAGCCTGACCCTTGAATTTCACATAACTAGCGGTTGAATTTTGACGACCTAAAACATTGCCAAAAATGATCAATAAAATGCTATTAAAACATTTTTGAACATCCTAATGGCAAACAAAATGTGATCAAAACCAGTTCAGATAAATAACTAATGCTGTTGAATATGTTACTAATGTAATGAAGGTATCTTTCAATCGTTGACGTAAACTTAGCTTGCAAGCTTTTAGTTTGGACTTCTCTTTACCAGGAAATCTCTGTCTTTCGTTATTGCAAAATCAGCTGAATTGACAATGATGTTGATAAGTGTCACAGGAAGCTTAGATTACATGCTTGTGTTGACTGACTTCTGAACTGAGTAGGCTACTCACTTATTCTGAGGAGAACATTTGCTGCAACTTGTAAATATTATTTTAAGTAAGTACCATTAAAATGATATTAAAATCAATGAAAACAGTGCAAAATTCTTTAACATTGATGGGAAAATGTAAAAAATTACTTATTACATGATGAAAATGCAAAAAAAGTCATATAAAATTGGGTCACTTCCTTTTGTCATAACACAAAATTAATGTCTGTATTAAAAGGCATTGCTTTAAAGTGAAAAGACAAAAGAATGACATTCAATTTTTTAGGAATATGCACTGTGGTGAACACTCTTGAAGATGTATCATCATCATTCAGATCACTAAAGAAACTTCCCGATTCTTTATAAACAAAAAAATTATATATTCTTTATTAGTCTTTTTCTGTTTTTAACCAATACTATTTCTCCTTTTACAGTAAGGGACAGCATCTAATGAAATAATTGAAACTTCTCACTGATGCTCTGCATAGACTACAGAAAATTTCAGGGGAAAAAAGATTATTGATAGCATTGTGACATGGTGTTTTCTAAAAATTCCAATTGACAAAACCTTTGAATTTTTTAAAATTCTAGGTTGTGACAATTTAGTTGCTGCAGAAATAGATCCATGTGATCTATTGTGTTTAAGATTTGCTCTAGTAACCTCCATCAACTTTGAGAGATCTCAATTAAAGGATGTTTTGTTCAACAGAAACAGAAAATTTAAGAAAGCACTTGGTTGTGTTAGCCCACTAAAATTGTTCAAGATATTTTGTCATCAAAATTGTCTTTTTGTCAAAAATGTTTGTCTCATTTTTGTTAAAACTTGCGAAATGCATATTCTATACTATTATGTTAAGCGATAATCACAGATTTATTCTTAAAACAGATTTTATTAGCCTTTTTTGCCTATTTTAACAACATTAAGTGTTTTTGCCTTCCTATTTTAGAAATTTATTGTGTGGAAAGTTTTGGTTTCTAGTTATGCTCAATATACGGCCAGCTCGGATGTAGTGAACTCTAATGCAATGAACTTCAGTTATGTTGAACTAAATTCTCTGCTATTCTTCCTCATACAATACAAATAAACACTAAATAATTCTGTTATACTTGTAGTGAAAGCAGGAAACACAGCTTCCAACAAAACTAGTGGTGCTACAGAATGGCACAGACTTTCTCATACTAGTTAGTTTTTTTTCCTAATTTCCTTGATCTGGTCTAGCTTTTGGGTTTTGCCCCATCCTTTTACCAGTGACAATCTATTGCCACCCAAAGAAAATTCTTTGAAATTTTCTCAATTTTTCAGTTTTCTAGTTGAAGAAGCTAAATACTTGTATTACTTAAAGAATGTTACAGAAGAATAAACCTTGTCCTAGATTAAGATTTTCTTTTAGGATAAGGGAAAGAAAGGGAGAGTGTGAGATGGAGAGAGGATGGGAGCAAAAGGGAGAGTGAGAGAGGAAGATCAGTAGCAAAAGGGAGAGGAGGGTGAAAGAGGGTGTGAAAGAAAGAGCAAAGGGAGGTAGCAAGCAAGCTAAAAAGAGTGAGAAAGATAAATGCAAAAAATTTGCCTATTGTACATATTGCCTATTGTATAATACGTACAATAAGTATAGGAAGTACAATAGGTACAGTACACGCAACGGGTGCAGTACGCAAGTCAAAATTATGTTTACCGCTTTGACATGACCTTGCTAATTCATGTGTGGTACTTGTTTATTTAATGAGCATCTTATGCATTCATTTTTTTATTAGCAATTATTCACTTTCTAGTTTTTATCATATCATTGAAGTATAAAAAATACTATGTTTTATGTCCATTGCATCATATTTCTAACACTTTTTTTCAGCAATATTCCATGAAACACCAGATGATGGTGATGATGAAGAAGAAGAAGAAGGTCCTGGTAGCCTAAGACAAGCATTCAGACTCTATCGAGGACCATTGCTTATCATAGAATTCTTGTTTCTAATGGGAATTAATGTTTATGGTTGGCGGTCTTCAGGAGTAAATCATGTTCTCATCTTTGAACTAGATCCTCGCTCCCATTTATCAGAACAACATTTAATGGAACTTGCTGCCATTTTTGGAGTTGTATGGACTCTGTCTTTGCTTGCCTTCTTATATAGTGAAGCACTTGCCATTCCACCGTATGTTAATCCACTGGCTTTGAATGCAATAATGTTCTTATTCTTAATAAATCCTTTTCATGTGTTTCGTCATGAAGCTCGCTTTTGGACTCTGAAAGTATTGGTAAGTTATCAATCCTTATGTTATCAAGGCCGAAGTTGATAGCTCAGACCATACGTTGCTTGTCAATTTCTTTTGATACTAATTTTAGTAAAGGTACAAGTTCTCATTGTATATCAAACCTGCTAGTGTATAATTTCTGCTTCTTAGTACTCTTGTTTTGCTACAGTCATATGAGCCTGTTGTTTATTCATCAAGCAACTACCACTCTCTTCAGGTGCATTCTATGGGGTTCTACTTGGGGAGCTGGCGAGATACTACAGAGCCCATTCTATTTTTGGAGTGAAAAAAGAAGTTTTTGAAAGTCAGAAATTGGGATTGTGACTTGAACATATATATTTTGCATTGCATGGACATTATTTAAAGTGTCTACTACAAGATATTGTCATTAAAACTGACTTAAAGTAACTGTTTTCTCCCTGAAATTTTATTTACTAAAACTATTGCTTGCCTATTCCATCACCTAGATAGAGTGAAGAGCTCTGTGTAATCTGATCAAAAGAGTGATTTGCAAGTTAAACTTGCTGCCTAGCAATATGTTACAGCGATAAATGAATTTTAATATATTTCGTGAACATTTTCTTTCTATAAACTATATTTCCATTTCAATCGTCATGAGTTGGAATGGTGCAAAGTAGAACAGCTAAGCTGGATTTCATTAGAATTTTTTAGGTTTAGATAGCTTCCTTTATCAAGCACCATTCTCCAAATAAGTAATGTGGTTAAAATGGGGTATTAAAGAGTAAAACTTTATAAGATAATTTCCTGCATCCCAATGGCATTTTGATACAAGTGCCACAGATGTTCCTCAAGGATCTGTGCTTGGACTTTTGCTATTTCTAACATATGTTAATGATATTTCAAGCTCATCTGACTTCTCTGTAATTTTTTATACAGATGATACAATATTAATAAGCAGTGGGCAAACTTTGTCATCTAGAAACTAATCTGACTGAATCATTAGAATCAATTAAAAGTTCCTTGTCTACAAATTAATTGAAATAAAACATTGATAAAACTGTATTAATCAATTTCATGTTTCATCATAGTCATCAACATCAAAATATTTAAGTGGAAGTAGACTATGAATCAGTGAATCAAACTGATTGCCATAAGTTTTTAGGAATATTCATAGATCAAAACCTAACTTATAACAAACAAGTTAACACACTTTGTAATAAAATAAACTCCAATATATTCCTCTTGAGATTCTTTTCCAGATACCTGGAAACAAATGCACTTCTTTCAGTCTATTATGGGATAATCCTTTCCCAAATTCAATACAATATTGAAATATTGGGAGTTACTACGCAAAAAAATACGGATACATTAATGGCCCTACAAAAGAAATCTATCAGAAGCATTTTCAAACTGAATCCAAGACAGTCCTTTAAAGATTTCTTTATTAAATAAGAGTTACTAACTGTTGTAGCACTTTACTATTACAAATAATCAGAATGAATATCTTGTTAGTAATAAAGAGATGTGTAACTAGCATACTAGAGACCACAGGATATGCACTAGCAAGTCTTCAATTAACAAAGATCCTTTCTGCATTGCTACACAGATTTTTAATAAACTCCCATAAAAAACTTCAAAACATTGCTTAAACACCACCTTATTAGTATATGTCCATATACGATATATGAATTGCTTTAACTTCTCTGTAATTAAAAACCATGTACCACTACAAGAGCGACCATTCTGTACCAACCTTTTAGTTCAATAAGGCTATGTACTATTTAGTAATGCAGTAAAAAATGTAATTTTATGTTAGAATATTGTACGCACTTACAATTATTATTTAACACCTAATGTATTCATGTTATTGAAGTTAATTAATCAACTACTGTAGGTTTGCTCACTCTAATTGAAAGTACTTGCTATTGTATCATAATCTGCTAATGTAATGTAGTGTTAATGTTATTTTTAATTTGGTAATGAGACTTTGTGTAGTTCAAAAATGTTTACTAATTTAATGTTTATTATGATCACTTGCATGCTTAATCATGTAACTTATCAAGTAAACTATTGTAATTATTACAGTAAGTTATGTAATTGAATTTTATTCCTATTATAACTTAGAGTTTAATTGTTTATATTAATCAATTTTATATATTTTAACATATAATTTATGAAGATAATGTAAACTTATTAAAATATTACTGTTAGTGAATGTTGTTAAATAATGTAACTAATGTATTGTAATTTTAAACTGGGCCAACACTACTGAATTCCAGCATTACCAATGGAGGCCGCCACAAACTGGAAAGTCATTTTCAGCCATGTGTTCAGATACTTTTGATTACATTGTGTATTTTAATGCATAAAGATTTAAAACATTTGTATATCATATACTGAATTACTAAATATACTTCATTTTCTCCCTTTTTTCTGAAATGCGTATTGAACTTCAGACTGGATCATCTTATTGGTGTAATTAAATATGTTGGGAGTGGGAAGGGCGAGGGCTTGGAATAATAAAGATATCATGTTGCCATTAATTTAGTTGTGATTTTCATCCATATGACTTTGGAACTAAAAATGTATAATGTATATTTTGAATATGCACTGAAGACTTCAACTTTTCAAGAGAGAATTTAATTTGTTTTATCAAAAGGAATTTATTGAGAGTTTTCAACTTTGGCCATGTGTTTAAAATTACATTGGTATTGTTCTCCTAGTTTCAATAATTAGTGCTACTTATAAAATTGCCTTGTAACTTTTTCTATAGGCTCGTATTCTAGCAGCTCCATTTTTTCATGTTGGTTTTGCTGATTTCTGGCTTGCTGATCAATTGAACAGCCTTGTATCTGCTTGCTTAGATTATCACTTTTTGATTTGTTTCTACATCACTAATGGCAACTGGCTTTCCATTGGAGGTAAGCTTTTTCTTAGGCTTTGCTTTAGATGTTTTGCAATAGCTGGTAAGTGAAGAATTAAATTTTGAATATATACTTGCACTTGATTAGTTTAAAGTGTATTTTAATTGTGGTTAGGTTGGAGTTATTTCAGTGAATTACTTGCTATATTAATAGATGATTTTTCATGAGTGCTTTATGATTTTTGACATTCACCACTCTGATTGCAGCTCTCCAGATGTATTGTTTAATACTATTATTGTTCATTTCATTAGTAGAATAGTCACTTAAATGACATGCTGTCGTTGTTTTTTCTATCAAGGGAATATCCAAAAGAATTTTTCCTGCTACTGTCAATACTGAAATCATCATAAGAGTTAACAAATCATGTTGAAACACAATTCCTGAATTAATGATGCTCAAATTTCAAAAATTTTAAAATAAAACTGAAATTATAATTGTTAAAATGTTGACAACACTACCAGGGAGGATAATAAGAAATCATCCTTTTTTGCTAAAAAGGATTTATACCACAAATCAGAATTTTATAAAGGTGTACCAAAATGGTTTCAGTAACTCTTTTCAACTTCCTAAAAAGTTGGCAGAAACATAAAACTGTTTTAAAAGAAATTTTACTGTGTCTAGCCATTGAATTGTTACATATGTGCAAGGCTAAACCTAAAATTGAGGTTGTGAAGCCATCACTTTGGAGTAAATGTAGTGCAACTTTTCATGTACAGTGACTGGAAACATTTTTTAAAATAACTTTTAGAGTTAATGAGAATTTGCTTATGTGAATTTATGACTGTTCCATGAAGAGAATAGAAGAAATTGAGTTCATTCATTACTTTTTCAGATACAAGCCAATGTTTGGAACAATCATGGATAACAAGGCCAATTGTGAACTGTTTGCCAGCTTGGTTTCGTTTTGCACAATGCTTGAGACGATACAGAGATTCAAAGGAAGCATTCCCACATCTTGTAAATGCTGGAAAATATTCTACTACTTTTGTGGTGGTCATATTTGCAACCTTGAAATCTTATTATAGTGGTGAGTGTGTTACTAAATAAATGAACTACAATTATTAGGTACACTTACTTTTTTCTTTTAACGTGGTGAATTTATTAAGTTACCGTTTGTTTAGTGAGATATTGTAAATCAACATTTTAAAATAACTAAGCCAAATGAAATGTGGCGAGTTAGATTGTTAATTGTAATAATTTTTATAAAGGTTTTTTGTGATACAATTTAAATCTGTTGTAAATGTAGTATTTAAAAATAGACAGAACTTTTCTATTAGATATTGTCTGTTCTAATCTGATTTTATACTACTTCTTTATAGTTCATACTTCAATAGGTACTGTAACAAGGTAATTACACATTCTCTTATTATATGTGATGAAACTTTGTAAATTTACATCTTTTTATCACTTAGAATCTGTTCCATTTTGTCAGTTTTGAAATATTTAAGTTTGTTGTTGTTGTTTTTGCCTTTTCCTATATTTTTAACAGTTTATTTTAGGCCTACATTTCAACTGGTGTTAAATTTAAACTGAATTTAGACCATCCCGAATAAAAAATATTAAACTGGATATCTGTAAAGTGCTAGAAAAAATAAATAAATAAATAACTCTGCAAGAATATATAAATGAAGCATTATAAATTAAATTTTAAAAACTGCTTTTATATGGGGGAGGCAACAAATTAACTGATTAATTAATTAATGAATTTTGTCACCCCCAACTCCAGCACCTCCCTTCCCCACAGTATCTAAAATTCCTTCCATTAAAATATTTTCAATGCCGAAGAAAATTAAATGGATATGAATAAAAATTATATTATTCAAATTTAAAGGGGCTCTAAAGAGTATCAATTTTTTTCTGGTAGGTGGTTGATTTATCAGTTGGTCAGTCTGGTTAAGCTAGCATATAAGAATTTATGAATGTGTTAATTTATTAATTCTGATTCTATCATTGGAGTGACATTTTAATTAATTATTTAATTAATTAATTATTTCTCCTACATAACATATCGGGAAATTGCTGAGACTGTTTTATCAAGTGAAAATAAAATCTACTTTACAAATACTTTTCCCACATCTGTAATGGCTTCTTTTCTTCATAGCAATTATTTGTCAACTTTCCAGACAATTGCAACAGCAAAAGTTGATATGTGCCTCAAATTACAGTAAAATCCTCCAGAATATATATGGATTTACTTCTCTCAGAGCCACGTGATTTCAATGAACTATTTATTTTTTCATACCTCTTGTTTGCTGACTTTGTTTTGATTAGTTGAATGACACTGTCACTTATTGTTTTTTGTTGTTAATTGTTTAATTCTTAATTTAATTGTTTCAGATGAGTACAAGAGCTCACTCTCGAATCCATATTTTTATTTATGGCTCCTAGCACAGGTTGTGAATTCATGTTATGCATACACCTGGGATATAAAAATGGATTGGGGTTTATTTGATTCAAATGCTGGAGAGAACACATTTTTAAGAGAAGAAACGGTGTACACATCTGCAGTAAGATAAAACAGTATATATGTAATACAATTGTCTATTGTATAACAATTATTATTTTGACTTCTCTTATTTTTTAGAGTTTTTACTATTTTGCTATTGTGGAAGACTTTGTTTTGAGGTTTGCTTGGATATTTACTTTAATTCTCACTGAAATGAAACTAGTCAGTAGTGATCTGATGACTTCTATTTTATCTCCATTGGAGGTTTTTAGGTAAGGATTCACAAAACAACCTGATAATTTCAATTGGTTCAAGAACTTTTTTCATTATAAATTACATTAAATTATAATTACAAATCATCATTTACTAATCATTTAATAATTGACATTATAAGATTTTTTCAGAAAAATGTGAATATTGAAATAAGTTATTTTAGATAACTGCTATTTAAAATATAATTTAAAGTAATTATATTAATGAAATAAATTTATTATAGTGATATGTACTTGTTAAATAAACAAAATAAAGATGCAAAGTGCCTTTGAGCAATTTCATGTTTCAGAGTGAAAAATTAGTAGGAAATCTGAATTATTGTTCAATGCAATGTATAAATCTCCTGTTTCTGCATCATTTGTAATGTAATATTAATGTGGAATTGATATTTTAGTTGATGTCCTGAGAAAAACTCTTTAATAGCAATGGTAGGATAAAGCATTTTAAATTTAAAAAAATCACATTTTGTAAACAAGACTATAGCATTTTGTAAGCTTTATAAAAATTAAGATTGGCATTTTGTAGTATTTGTTAAATAACTTATTATAAGGGAGGACTCTTTGAGATTAAACAATTATTTTGATGCTTTTTAGATTTTCCAATTTAAATCAGGAAACAAGGGAAACTAATTTAATATTTTGTCACCTGTGAACTTCAACAAATATTCAAAGAAGTAATTTTAAATCCATAGAATGATTCCTGTCTTGTACTGAACTATAAGCTTCTGTACAACACTTTTCAAATGAGAGGAAAAAGATTGTCTAGCAATTTATAAATGCTCATTAAAACAATGCTTTCTTTTCAAAGGTTATTTATTTTGTTATTGTATATAAATACCTTATTATCAATATGTAGGACAATTTGTGGAAGATTAATTGAGAACATCTTTTAGTCTTGGCTTCTTTTAACCTATTTTTTTATGTCTTTAACCTATTTCTTTTGTCAGTAACAATTAAACTACATTGATTGAAAAATCGTTCAGCTTCTACACTGTTGGCCACTGTCAAATTAAATGTTTTCAAACATAGTTGTTGTCTCTGTTGTTGTTGAAGTTATATCCCTAGTTAAAGAGCAAACATATTGGAAACCATATAATGCAATTTAGCAATTATATCCTAGATTCACAACTATTTCACTCTTTGTACATTCGCATTTTATTTCAGATAGAAAATCTTCAGAAATATACTCCACTGACCATCAAACACAATTATCAATTCTTTTCTGCCATTGGTTACATTTCCAATTTTTAGCAATTGCTAAAATGTATCATCTCCACTCATTAAAACATTTGCCGCCCTAGGCATGAGTCTATATTTGCCTATTCATAGCCAAACGCCACATTCGCCACAATTTGCCAACCATAGTTTAGCACAGAAGTAAAGACTCTAAAAGTTGATTGAGCATTAAAATAGAAAACAATATTCACTTTATTATTTAACAATATCTAATGAATTAGTGAACATTGATACTGAATTATTCTAAAAGGCTACGTATGTCAATAAAAGCACTTCAGCTTCTGGATCAGTAACCTCCATACCAATAACTTTTTCATCCAGTTTCCATTGAGGAAATTCTGAGGTGGTCCCTTGTTTGGCTTCTGAGCATAAACGTAGCTTTGCTAGGCACATATTTTGTTGAACTCTGCTTTTGTTGTACAAGTTGAGCTGGTTTGTGTGTTGCTATTTAGCAGTACTATAAAATCACATTGTAATTTGTTTACTGATGCTGATTAGTTTTCTCTTACTTGGAGTAAAAATTTCTAGTTTTCAAATCTTGCTGACCACACATTGTTAGTACTTTTATTAACCATTCAACTATGTACGGTACATTAAAAGGGTAAGATAGGAATTTTGGAGTTCAAGAAAATGTGTGCAGATTATAGTAACTACTTGGCTATCCAGGAGATGCTACATCCTACACACAAGTGTCAGCATTTTGGCTGCAATTCTGTGCCCTCCATCATGAAGAAGTAATCCAGAACACGGCTTCTGGATAGCCAAGTAGTTACGGACTTTGACTGCAAAAGCCTTGCTTTCTCTCTTGCATGCAGATTATACTTCTTCCCCATATATCACATAGTTATCTCCATACATCACATCTGTCTTTTTTTTTATGAAAAAAATCAAATCAAAGCAGATCAACGCAATAAATAACTTTAGCTAACTTATTGATGCTGCTTTTTAGATTACAAGATAACTTTGCAAAAATGCTCTTCATTTCAGGAGATTTATATGGAACTTTTTTCGACTGGAAAATGAGCATTTAAACAATTGTGGAAAATTTCGTGCTGTGCGAGATATATCGGTTGCACCGTTAGATGCTTCAGATCAATCACAAATAGTACGAATGATGGATGAAGAAGATGGTGTTATAAACAGACAAAAAAAGAAAATCCCAATATCTGTAGGTTCAGTTAAAAGCAAGAAAGAAGATAAGAAAATATTTTTATTGAAAACAACCAGTAAAGAACATTTTGATATTGCAACTCCTGTGTGCAGCAAATCTAACGAGATGCAGTTGTGAATTCCATGGACCATTTTCAAGAGATAACAAATGAGAACCTCTGTGATTAAAATGTATTTTTTATATACAATTCAATTGTGAGAAATTTGGTAGATTTTTTTACTTACATGTGTGATAAATAGCAGTACTTTTATTTTAGAATGTTTGTACATACCAGAATTGTGAGAAAACTTTGAAATAAATAATTTAAATAATATTTTGCAGCTATTTTCAGTTTGCTCATATCTAGCATGACTATTTAGGGGCCCGAGAGACCTAGCTTGTCCCTGCAGTACCCTAAGGTGTGAACAGCCTGAAACAAGAGGAAGTTAATTTAATCTCTAAAACATGTTATCAATTAAACATTTATTAACATGACAAAATTTACTATTAAATAAAAAATAAAATACTTGAAGGAGAAAGAAAATGGAACTTTAATTTTCTTTTAAGGTTTCCAAAGTAATTTTCAGATTCAATATGAGTAATAAATCATATTCAAGTTACAGTTTAAGTGATGATTTATGTATATTACTATTAGAAACTAGAGGTGCTACGGAATGGCACAGACTTCAGTTTTCTATTTCCTTTGGCCTAGGATAGCTATATGAACTTGTCACATATTGCCAGCTGCTATCTATCAATATTTCGGTTTCCTAATAACAGAACAGAAATATTATTTCAAGAATATTAAAGAACAGTAAATTATTTCCTAAATGGCAATTTTCTTTGAACAATTTTGAGCAGTTTTTAAGCAATTGGTGTTTAAGAGCTACAGTAAATTCCAAACTTGAAGCACTTTTTACAGAAAACTCTTGAGTTTTAGAAAAACTTCATTAAGTCATTTGAAGCACATTAACTCACAAATACAATCGTGTTTACAAATTGCTATAATGGTGTATATTACCAGCATGAGAGAAATTAAATTATATGTACATATACACACATGTACATATATACATAAGTGTATGTGTGTGTATATGTGTATGTGAAATTTTTGGAAAAATAATACCCCAAAATGAACTTTGTCATATTTAAGAGTGCAATTAGTATTTTCCGTTGGAAACATATTTGAAGAGGGGGAAAATAAAAAAAGTCATATTTGAGAAAATGGCGTTTGAGCATTTCTGAAATTGCAAAATTTTGAGCTTGTTTTGACAGAAAATAGTTGAGTTTCAAGAAGCTTTATCTGAGATTATTTAAAGCACATGTACTCATAAATGTATAATGTGAACAAATTGTTGCTAATGTAAATATTAACAACAAAAAAGTCAAATGATTACATTTTGTAATTTTTGAAAAAAACAAAAGAATAGAGCAATATGGTTGTTTATGTCATCTTATACAGTACATTTAGCACAATCCCTACCAAAAGTTTAAAGAAAAATTTGGGACCGTTTTTGAGAAAATTGTTTTTTGTAATTTTTTTAAATTGCACAATTGGCAGGCAATGTTGCGTGAAAGCTTGTAAAATGTTCAAAACATGTACCTGAACTTAATGAAAGAACAAATTATGGACAACAAATTTAATTTGAAGGAAAAATTTCTATCTTTAATTTTAAAGTTGTAGGGAAGCCCCGAAAAAAATGCAAACTTTTGAAATTTTCGAAAATTCAGAGTTAAGTCATGCCGAATTTATAAGTTCATTTTACTCCAATAAGAAATTAAAAAAAAAAAAAAATTAGAGCCATTTTTGAGAAAATGTCTCAAAGGCTTTGGGTAAAGTACTGCCAAAACTAATGAATGATTTTCAAAATAGCCGAGCTTCGACTCAGGCCAAATGGACAGGGGTTTCTTCAATATGGAAACAAATCCTATGCATGGTTTAGGCGCTAGTGTTGTTCACATACACCAAACGGACGGACGTTTTGAGGAAAAATAAACAACTCTTTTTTGGTATCAATATATATAATTCATTATATATCAATTATCAAATTGACCGAAATGAACTTTACGTTACATTAAAGAGTGCAATTAGCACTATCCTTTCGAATAGTTTGAAGAAAAAATATGGAGTAGTTTTCGAGAAAATTTTGAAAATGTTCCAGGGCTTCATGTTAAGTACCCACAAAAACGAATGAAAGATTTTCAAAATCGCAGAGCTTCGACTTAAGTCAAATGGTCAGGGGTTTCTTCAATTAGAGAAAAACACGTATGATTTAGACGCTTGTGTTGTTCACATACACCAGACGGACAGGCGTTTTGTAAAAACAATGCTTTTTAGCTAAAACATGTATTTCTGTTGAAATCTCGAAATCGATTTTCCGCAGCAATAGAAGTAGACAGAAGTAGTAGAAGAAATTCCGCTCATTCCGCTGCTGCTGCTGCTGGAACGCCCAATATTGACTGCGCATGCGCGGACTATTCCGAGACTGTTTCGGACTGCTGCTGGAACAAATCTATTTCAAACGGTTTGAACTACGCAGTGATCTCAACATTATACTGTCTACACGTGAGCTCACCAATGAAGTATGTTTCAACTTTATAATGTTGGTGCTATTGAAAAAGAGCAAAGATGCTATTGTCTGACATTACATTTGCATATATTTTAAAAGAAAATTTCTGGCGAGTTTTTACGATAAATGATGTAATGTTTATAATGTATATCTACTATATTAATCACAATTGCTTTAATGTTAAACTTTTATTTTTATCTAGAGAGTCATTACTTGGCAAGACGTGTTGTCTTTCTGTAGATATATATATATTCTTTGCTGCAGAGCATCTATGAGATGTCCCGAGCGCGGGTAAACTGTGTGAATATGTTTGAATTGAATCTTAGTCAATCCAGATCAGATTAAGCGTTAAAGTATTGAGGGAGTTGAGTGACTGTAATGCATTGTGTACGGATGTGACGATTATTTAATTATAAGAACAATATGCCGCGAAGACATAGTTTGAAGTCTCGGAAGTGCAAAACGTAAGTATACGCCAAGTTCGAAAATCATAACGTACTGTCAATAGGCCTCAATTACATATATTTCTGATTCATATTTGGGATATATTAGTGATACGCATTGGTAATTTGTGCAGGCCTAACGTCTTAAGCAGCACTTCTATTACAGAAGGACGATCGGTAAGTAACTTGAAATATTGTTTTTGTTAAGGGGATTTCAAAACTTGAATTCATGTTTTAAGTGTGTATAAAAGATTGCACTGGACGAGAACTCGTTTAAAATTTCGTGTAAATTTGTAGGAATGAATTGAGTAAGAATGATTACATATATATTCCCATTCCCAGCCTCGCCATTAATAAAGACATTATTATTATTATATATTATCAACTAGCAAAATACCCAGCAATGCCTCTTTGTATTCAATCCTTGTGAAAAAGAAAACTTCGCCACGTATCTTTCTCTCTCTACCTGTGTGTCTCACTCTCTGCATCTCTGGCTCTGACTGCCTGTGTGTCTCTTTCCGTCTCTCTCTCTCCGTCTCTTTGTTCCTCCCTATCTGCCTGTCTCTTTTATATAATTACTTCTTGATACCTATTTTACCCATATTAAATATTGTTTTGGGTCGTCTTCAGAAAGATAGTTTGTACATTTTAAAATTATATAATCTTGATCATAATACATGAAAATATAAGTTCTTAACATCAAGCGTAGTAGTTAGGATTTCTCAAGTTGTAAAAGGGGATCAAACCTGTAACACAACTTTATACTGATTTCTAAACAATACTTTTTTTCAAATTGTAATGGCATATCTTATTCGTCAAGGCATGGTTTTTGTTGCATTCTGCTTCGAAGCCTTGTTCAGAAGCACCTCGCAGTACATCAATCAAAACTTCTCAATTTGGTTAGTAAGAAAGAAACAAACAAACAGATGTCTTTGTAAATGTCAAGGGGGAATCTTATCTATGAGATCATGATTAGTGGCAAGCCTGCGATTTATTAAAACATTATGTCCATATACCAAAACATTGATATTTTCCTTATGTTCAATGATTCTGTTTTGTTATTTTTTTCTCAGTCTTAATTTGCCTCGTACTAAAAAGCAGGAAGCATCACAACTTCGTTGCTTACATACAAATTTGTAGATGGTATTGTGTTTCAATCAAATTAAAAATTTTCTGGGTTAGGGCAGTATTGCACCAGACTCCTCAAATATAGAATATCTTTATTTCTATAAGTACATTAATTGTAATAATTTAATGATAAATTTAAAAACTTATGTCGTAGTTATCATTTTTCTGCTTTAACGGATAAGGATAAATAAAGCACTTAATGGTTTTGGTTTAAAGTAAAAATATCTAATACAATTATTTTAAAAAATCTGATTTTTTAAATTTTTTTGTTTAAAAATATCGATTTTTTTTTCCAGCCCTGATATATTAAATGTATATGGCCCCAGGGTTTACTTAGACAGGGCTATGAATTATTCCCTGTCTTCAGTCTAAAGTATGTAAAAAAAGAAAATATTAATATTTTATAAAAAATATAAGTAAGAAGTTACTGACATTAATATCAAAGGCAAAATTCTAATGAAACATAGCACTCGAGATAAATCTGAAGACTTGCCATTTTTATCAGGAAAAGACATACAAAATTAGTTAAAAAATATCTACAGCAGACTGTGCAAACGTATGTCGTACATGGCAGGTACAATAAGAGAATTTGAACCAGGGTCTCAGCCTATTGTTCACATTCAGTTCAAATCCTCCAATTGTAATTGCCATGCTGGATGAGCGTTTGCACGTTCCCCTACAAATCATATTCAGCCCATAAAATTAAAAGATATTTGAACAGTATTAACATAAGAACAGTCTCCAAAGTAAACTAAACTAAGGAAGTAAACTAAAGAGATTCATCAGCAGCGTAAAGGATGTCATACCCCAAATATTCACTCATACCCCCATCTACAAAATTTTATTTAAACTCCTGGGCTGAGGTGACTCTTATTTTGGTAGGTGTGAGAGGAAGTAACAGTATAGTCATAGAACCCAAGAAAATTATTATATTTCTGGAACACAGACATAATTTTTCAACAGAATGCGGACTTGCTACTATTCATGAGTTTGATTGTGAAATAAGAGAATAATTATTATAAGAAACTAACAGCAGAATCGTTACGTATTTGTAATACCAAAAAAATCTAATTATATCGACAGCCACTTTGAAACTCCTATAAACTTCTCATAGGTTAGATTTCTCTTTGAGCTTTACAAATATATAGATACCATTTTTTGTTACTGACCACGTTGGATAGGTTTGATTTTTGTGTTTGGAACTGGGAGGTGCTTCTCAACATGGTTTGTGGAACGTGTCACGGCCAATGTCTGGCTAAATATGATTTGCCATTACAACTTGACAAAAGATATGGTTATAAACATATTATATGCTCCTATGTTTTCTCAGATAAAATCAAAGTTAGAAATTAGGATGGAATTTGTTTTACAGTTTTAATTCCCCACAGTATGAAATCATGACCAAAGTTATTTAATTTAAAATCAAAGGCTATCTTCCTGAAGAGGACCCAAAACAATTGCTATCAGATATCATTTTTGGAAAAAGTATTGACAAAAAGAAAGGTTGTTGTTTAATTTTTGATTTAATGTAAAAACAAACTGTTATACAATTTTGTTTGACATTGGCCTTTTCTTATGAAATTTCAGAACAGACAATGACAATATACGTTAATAAATATTTATTGTTTTTCCTTTCTTCTCTCCCTTTTTCCCCTCCTTCCCTTCCAAAAATATTTGTTTAATTTCTTATGGTTCTTATTCACTTTTTACATATTGATTATGGTTCACATGTGTTGAGAGATATCTGAGTTTTTGAAAACTCAATACAATGTTTTACAATTCAGATTCTGAAGAAGAGACAAAGGAAACCTCTCCAAGAAGTTGTCGACTTACATTTAACTGCAGACACAAAACCTCAGACAAACACCAGATCAAACAATCGACGTGTGAGTTTTGCTGTATCAGAAGTGAAGTAAGTTGCTTATTTGGCTGTTTGTTCATAAATATTTTTATTTATTGAAAGGGGTGTTCTCGGTTTAAATGTACTTTTAAAACACATTTATGGGTTCCAAACTCTGACTTATTATTGTGCACCAGATAGATGAATACTTGGTATACATTGAATTTAACATACTAAATTAATAGTGTTTAATTAAAATCGTTCACCTGCGTAAGATAAATTTTTCAGGAATGACAAATACATTTTACCTATATCTGTGAAGGTTTCATCAATACAGTGAAACTTACTGAAATGGCTATCACTATTTTTTTTATGGAAATACGATTTTTCTATAAGGCTAATATAAGTATCCCCTGTAATCCTGTGATCAGGAGCAAGACATATTTTGTTGATTAATCTTTTTTTTATAGTACTATTTAGTATAGTGATTTTCAACTATAAAGAGAAAAAAAAAATGGAAAGTTATGGAGATTGCTATTATCGCTCTGCATTGAGATGTATGGTCAGATTATTTAGAACAGGTATATTTAAAGTTGAATTTTTTTTCAGATAACAATCTATGATTTTCATGCATTTTTCTTGGATGTTAATTGCAGCCGCAAGACTAGTTGACTTGTGAGTTCAGATTGACGAGTTGCCAATAAGACAATGATCAATAGATCAAGAGTGTTTCCCACATTGGCTTTGAGGAAAGTGATCTTAAGATGAGATGGGTATTTCAGCAACCAAATCTGACTTAAGGTCCAAAGAACAAATAAAAAACATAGAAAAGAAGTTATTTTAAGGGAGTGGGATGAGAAAAAAATGTTGATTTTGTTTTAGAGCAGAGGTCAGCAAACTGTGACCTGCAAAACTATCTTATGTGGCCCGAGGGGCTTAGACAGTTTTGGCCTACTGAAAAATAAACAATCGCATTGGCATTGAAGCTGGCATCCTTTCCTGAACTGTTCTATTATTCATATTTATTGTCTTTGGAAATATAATTATGTTATAGAACCATTAAAGTATTTTCTCGCTACATTTTAGTACCTGGGGCCCAAGAATGTTTTCACGTGGTACTAATAAAATTATTGAATTGTAACTTAATATTTGAATTTTGTTGAAAGAAAGTAAGTTGGAGATACTTATAGCCCAAGAGTTAGTGGGGGTTTGACTATGTGATCTGCAGTTACAAAAAGGTTGCCGACCCCTATTTTAGAGTAAGTAGTGAGGTGTTCTCAAGTAATGGATTCTCTATTAAAGGACAAAATTAGACCAAACCACTTCTCATATTTCCATGGCCAATGACAGCCAATATTTGGCAGAACCAAAAGTCAGGTTTCACTGTAATAATTTTTTGTTACACCAATCGCATTTTCATGACAATTATGCCACTTTATTTAAACAATTCTTCTTATGAAAATACTAAAATATACATTTTGTATATAAATACATGCTTTATGACATGAATAAAACCTCTTCCAGTCTGTTTGTTGTTATTGGAACCTAATAAAAATGCCAATTTATGAGCCTTAAACCCTTTTACTGAAACCCATCTAAATGTTGTATTTGTCTTATTAAAGCTATTGTTCCTCAATTTCAGAGAATTTCGTCAGCCTGCTAATGAAGGAACTCTCTGGGGAAGTTCATACTTTGTTGATATCCAAAAATCATCATCTGAATCTGAAAACACTGAATCAAGGTAATGGTGTTTGGAAGTTTTAACATCACATCATCATCAAAGCCAGAATTGTTCATAATTGTCATGTATGGTGTTTCTTTTCCAGATAATTTGTTGCATGAAACTAAAAACATGCTTCTTTAACAGTCGGATACATTTTTTAAAATTCAGTACCAGTGTATTTATTTGACAAAGACCTCTAAATATACAAATGTTTTTACAGTTACAGTGGACTGTGAGAAGGCTTTCGCAGATGTTCAGTCAAATTAGTGTGGTCACAATTAAAATTTTTTTGCCTTTTGTTATTACTATGTTAATTTTGGAACTTTTTTCTTTTCACAGCGCATCAGCTTTCCAAACATCATCAGGAAGTTGTGGATCTGGATTGATCTATTCACAGCAAGTCATTGTACAAGAAACTGTATCGGTATCCTATTCTGATATTGATGAATCTCAAGAATTCAGAGAAGATAATTTATCTGATGTACAGTCAAATCGGGTTTGTGAATTGATTGATGTTGCAAATCAAACAGATGAATCTGTTTTTCAATTTTTAAATAATTTAAGAGACCCAACAAAAAAAAGTGATGTTTGTAGAGAAGTTGTACCGACATATCTGCAGCATGTCAATAACGAAAGAAAATTCATGGATCCTAGTGAAATGTTGGGTGAATTTTTGCAATTGAAACCCAATTTTCCCCAGACTATCCCTTGTGAAACATTTGAGAGACAGACTCCGACTACCCTTCCATATTCATCGGTTTCCACAGAGGGAGAGTTCGATAAAGAAAATAGTAGTCTCCCAATGAATACAAAGAACAAAGATCATGCTTCTATTTTCTCTGAACCATCTGGAATATCTCAAAAACATCCTCTTACTTTGTGTGATGATAGCTTTGAAATTGCTAAGAAACAAGAGATTGGAACCCATTGCAATGACATCAAGCTTCTAGATTGGTTGAGGGAAGGAAAAACGGCTGCAGTTAGGGAGAAACAGAAACCCATTTGGATAAATAATCAATTAGGTATTTCCAATGAGTTGAAAAATCTAAAACATTCTCATGATCATGTTGAATACGATATGCAAGATTGCCCTCATATTTCAAAGCAATCATTAAAAAATGAACATGAAGTTTTAAATAACTCAAGTGGTGATATAAGTATGTCATTCACTTTATCTAATGCACCACTTCTGAACATCTCGTGTACAAATAAAGATAGTACCACAGGTACGAGCTGCAATAACTCAGAGTATTCAGAAATAGACCCAGAAACAAAAAACCTGAATTTGGAGAAAAAACAAATGCTCTCTGATTACAATAATGGGCCTGTAGAAAAAGAAAGGTTGTCAATATCTCCAAAAGTCAGTGAGGCATGTTTCATTGAGAAAAATATGGCATCTTCATCAAGAGGAAAAGGGATAGACAATGAAGTATCAAGTCATAAAGACAAATATTCAGATGTTTGTTTGAAACGAATGTCACTGAATGAAGTGGAGGGAGAAAAAAATTCATGCACCAATAATTCAATTGCTTCAAACCATAGTACTGGCTTTGAGAACGTTACCAGCAGCGTGTCACCAACAATGGTAAATGGAAGAATTTTAGGAAACATTCAACTTTCAAATCAGTTTCCTAATTGTGAAAATGTTACAAGAAACATGTCATCGACTGTTCCTGATGAAATTGATTTAATTGGAGCGGCACCAGTCAGTAATTTGGACAATATTAGTAGTGTGTCACTAACAATGACTACAGGGAAAATTTTAGATAATCATTATATTTCAAGGCACGAGCCTGCTTTAGCATTCAAAAGAATTGGTTCACAAATCATATCCAGTGAGAGAGATTTCAATAATGTTGAAGATGCAACTCAGAATTTTATTAATATTGGAAGTAATTGTGAAAGTACTGTGTCACCAATAACCACTGAAGACCCAATTTTATGTAACAGTCAATCATCAAGGCTGAGAGATGTTAGTGGAAATAAATCACCTACCATCCCTGTTAGGCAAATTTTATATGATGATGCAAGTTTTTACTCGGGATGTCCTATTAATGTAAGAAACAAATTGCCAAGAATAGTCGGAGAAAAAATTGACACTAGAGTGTTACCAGCAGGGCATTTTGAAAAATGTTTGAATGACAATTTCACTGTTTCAAGTCATGTTCCTTATTTCCAGGATACAATTCCTAGATATTCATGTCCCACAAATCCTCAAGAAAGAGTTTTTAGTAATGTGTCATGTAAAAATTATAATTGTTCTCTAGGAAATCTTGAAGGAAGTGAATTTTTAACAGAGTCTGGAGAAAGTATTTCTGACAAAAAAGAAATATCACACCATATCTGTGATTTCAGAAATACTAGCAGACTTGTGTCACCAACAATGCCTGCAGAAAGAAATTTAGATAAAATTCATATAGCTGATGAAAAGTCAGACTTAGTGAATGATAGCGGAAGTGTCTCTCCTACCATGCCTATGGGAAGAATTATTAGTGAAGGTCAGTCAAGTTCTCATACTAACTGTAAAGGTATCATTGCAATAAGTACTTCACCAGCATTGCCTGCAGGAAGAAATTTGGATAAAATTAATAGAACAGATGAAACTTCTGAGTGGGTAAATGCGAGCAGTGTCTCTCCTACTGTGTCTATGGGAAGAATTATTGGTGAAGGTCACTCAAATCCATATACTAACTATAAAGATATTAGTGCAGTAAGTGTGTCACCAACGTTGCCTGCAGGCAGAATTTTGGATAAAATTAATAGGACAGATGAAACTTCTGAGTGGGTAAATACGAGCAGAAGTGTCTCTCCTACTGTGCATATGGGAAGAATTATTGGTGAAGGTCAATCAAGTCCATTTACTAACTATAAAGATACCAGTGCAGTAAGTGTGTCACCAACATTGCCTGCTGGAAGAATTTTGGATAAAATCAATAAGACCCACGAATCTTCTGAGTTGTTAAATGCCAGCAGAAGTGTATCTCCTACCATGTCTATGGGAAGAATTATTGGTGAAGGTCAATCAAGTCCACATACTAACTGTAAAGACATCAGTGGAATAAGTGTGTCACTAACATTGCCTGGAGGAAGAATTTTAGACAAATTTCAGACAACTCATCAAAATTCAGACTTCGTAAATGCCAGCAGAAGTGTGTCTCCTACCATGTCTATTGGAAGAATTATTGGTCAAGGTCAGTCGAGTCAAAATGCTGACAGTAAAGATACCAGTGAAATAAGTGCATCACCTATGTTGCAGGCTGGAAGAATTTTAGGAAAAATTATTAAGACCAATGAACCTTCAGACTTTGCAAATGCCAGTAGAAGTGTGTCTCCTACCATGCCTGTGGGAAGAATTATTGGTCAAGGTCAGACTGGTCAAAACACTGGCTGTAAAGATAACAGTGAAGCAAGTGCGTCAACATTGTGTGCTGGAAAAATTGTAGAGAAAATTCACGAATCCAATGAAGCATCTGATCTTGCTAACATCAGCAGAGGTGGATTTCCTCCCATGCCAATGGGAAGAATTATTGGTGAAATGAATACAAGTAAAAATAGAGGCTTTGAGGTCACTCACAGGAGGAGTGTATCACCCACAACACCCCTGGGAAGAGTTTTCCACAACAATCAAATATCTTGTGATAATGTTGAGTTAGCATGTAAAGTGGTGAAAGAAAACATGGATGAGCAAGGTGATTTTTCAAATTCTCCTTTACTGAAATTGACTTCAGACAGAGATTTAGAAAGCACTTCACCGTTACAAGAACATAATTCTGATAAACTTTCAAAGAGTTCTAATGAAAATGTACCACCGAGCATTTCCAAAGGGTATATAGCTATGTGCGATAAACACGTTTCATTAACTGAAAGTCTGGAGAAAATGTGTATAGATGAAAAGTATGCGGTTGAAGAATTTATTGAAAATGACAAGGAGTTTCCGCATCATAATCCAAGAAAACAAGTAGAAATTAATTTTAATGCCCAGGGAACTAGTACAATTGTTGACACAAATGTATTTCATAAAACTTGCAACATAAATAACTCATTAGTAGCCACTGATAGTAATGTACTGAAAGAAACTCAAGATGATAGTGATTGTAAGAATGTGAAAATTGGTTTTTACAATTGTAAAACTAGAATGGCTGAAACAGACAATAAAAATTTGGGTGAATTTGTAAGAATGGGGAAAGACACAGTTGATAAAATTGAGAAAACATCATTTAATTTAAATGAAGAGAATACTGACCTTTCTGTAATAAGAATTAATGATATTTCTACGGATTTCTCAGAAAATACAGGAAGTGTTAATAATCCTGCAGCTGTCATTTGGAAAAGAAATAGAGTTGAGACTGTGGAGCTGGATATTGAAAAGGACTTCATTGAACAGAAGAAAGGAGGAAATTCACTATTTTTAACTACGGACTACAGAAATTGTTCCAACATAAAGTTGAAGGAAGTTCCAAATATTGAAGAAAATTGTGATGACAGTGAAAGGATTAATATTAATATGAATAGTGATAGTAAAATGAATGTGGGTGAATGCTTTGTTAATAGCCAGATTGTATGTAATATGAAAAGTACAGAGAAAGAAAACGACACTCATTATTCAAATTCTTCCACTAGTAGTAAAGTTGAATGTGAGGGAAGCAACAATGCGAGGTTCTGTGAAACAAAAAATCCAGGAGGATTGGTGAACAATGGCAGTCAAACAAATTGTAAAAATACGAATGTGATTTGTATTGATGATAAACGGGATAATGAAGAGGTAATGCCATGCAGTGATGCTAGAGATGAAGACTCTGAAGGGGTCGAGTCTGATATTGAATTGAATATTGTTTCTTCACCCGTAAAATTTCATATTTCTAAGGATAATTCTTTTTCCTCTGAAGCCATAGAAGTTGATAACACATTCAGGAATAATGGAGAACTAATAAGGAATGTGAAAAGTGCCAAAGGTTTGGTTGTTTCTACTAATGAATGTACTGATGAAAAAAATGATTCATGTAATGAAAAAACAAACATTCATATTAATAAGGAGGAAACTAATGAGGAAAATAAACATTCTAAGATTGTTGAAACGGTTTCAAAAATTAATAGACCTTCTATATGCATTAGTGGCATTGATTATATTGATTGGAAATCTTCCTTAGATGTGACAAATGCATTGATGAATAGCAATAATAAAAGCAGACCTGTCACAATATTTCCTGGAACTCAGAGTCCTCATTTCCTGATTCCAGAATCCTCAATTTCCATAGTTAAAACAGGAGATAACAATTACAGCTCAGAAATGGAAGGAAGTGTTTGCTCTGAATCCAGTTTAATTTCTCCAAGTAACCTCCATAATAATGAATTTGATGGCGCCAATGATATTTTGATCAAATCTTTTCGAAACCAAGGAAGAAATGATTTACTGAAAGAAAGAAGTACAAGTTCCTTTTCATTCCACAATGAAAAGTCAAATAGAATAATTGAAACCCCTTGCAGAATTGGAATTGAAGTGAACTCTAATAAGTTGAAAATTCCCCAATATGTGCAACCTGTATCCAAGTTAATGAATGTAGATGAAAAGCCAACCACAAATACAGTTGAAATAGGCATATCAGTCTCTGAAAATAAACCTCCAATTTTAGGGGTATCACCAGTGCAATTAGAAGATGATAGAAGTGTAAATTCCTCCACAGGCCATCTAAGGTCAATGCCAAGTGATATTTTACAGCCTCAAGACTTCATTGAAAGAGTATCCAGTTCTAATTCACCAGGAACTTCTGCTCAAACTGACATTGTAATACATGATGAAATGATTAAAGGTGTTAAAAAGACTGTTGAGTTGCCTTCAAACACAAATGAAGAGAATAAAACAGAAATGCAAGAAATTCATCCCCACACATACTGTTCAAAAAGTACTGATTCAGTAATATGTATTGGTGCTAAAAATGATTTTGTATTAAATGAAAGCAATACAATTAAAGAAGACATTAAAATGAATATTGAATTGCTCGCAGACATTCAAGGAAATAAATTAGAAACGAAAGAAGTTCATACTCATACACCTTCAAAAATGTTTGCTCCGATAATATGTACCCATGCTAAAAATGACATTGTAATAAATGAAAGCAAATCGTTTAAAGGGGATATTGAAAAGAAAGTTGAATTATCCACAGGCGTTCAAGTGAATGAAGCACAAATTCACTCCTGTGTACCTTCAAAAAGTACTGCTCAGATAAACTTTAGTGATGCTGAAAGTGAAATTGTAATAAATGAAAACAAAACTATTAACGGGGATGTTAAAAGGAACATTGAATTACCCACAGGCATTCAAGTGAATAAAAAAGAAATGAAAGAAATTCATCCCCATAAACCTTCCAAACGTTCTGCTCAAATAAACAGTAATGATGAACAATGGTCACCCCTTCAAAAGAAAACTAGATTCTCTCCTCAGATTGCACCAAACCTACCAACTCGATTATCCTATTATGAATCCTTTTTCAGCAAGGAGAATCAGACTCTCACTTCTACATCATTTAAAAGAAATTACAGCTATGCGTTTGGATATAAAAGTTCAACTAATGATTTATCATCTCAGGTGATTCCACCCTTAAGTTTTGAGAGATGGTTACAAGAACAAAGGTAATATATTTTAGGTATGTATATTTTCGTTGAAATTGTTTGCAAAAATAATTACTTTTTTTTTCTCCCTCAGTAAAAAATGTAATTGGAAGGTTGAACATATTTCATCGTCAAAAATTAATTTCTTTTTTTTGGAGAAGAAAGTAAAAGTTTATGTTGAAATTGATCCTTCAAATTTGAATTTATCAAAAATTGATGTCAAATCTCATCTTAAAGGTTAGCATTGTAAATTACTTGCTATTACAGTTTTACACACCTCATGAAAACTACAACTAAATTACGATTTGTTTTTCACAGGAAATAATACTGCAATATTTTTGCATAATCTCTTTTTGAAGAGATTGAAACTTGATACTCTGAAAGTTCGTTTTCCTTCCAAAAATGACATTCCTGCTCTAATTGACTTTATTTCTACCGAAGAGGAATTTATTTTAGACTTTGCTCAAGATTGGTTAGACCTGGAAATTAGACAAGCCATTCAAATGAAGGAAAATTTTTGGTTAGTATGGCTTTGAAGGGTGAGAAAAATGTACAGGCACTTTAACACATTGAAACATTGACATGCTTAATAACATACCTTTGTTTCAAAATTATCATTATCATCATCATCATCATCATCACTATTATTATTACTACTACTAGCTTAAGAAACGTACCATTTTTCAGGCATTTAATTATCACAATCACTTATTTGATAGCTGACAAACATGGTGTTGCCCATGATGTGCACAAAGATACGTCTCGCTAACACCAATTACACTTTCTTCAGAAGTTTAAGTGAAAAAACAGAGTATTCAGATTTACGGTTTTTATAAGACACGTACAACCTGAACATAAGGCGAGATTTTTCCCCAAATATCTCGTTTTGATTGTCTTTTTAGTCACACATGTAGCCAAGTCAGTTAGGATTTATGTTTTTACAATGTCTTTTCATTCATTAAATTTGCAATTGCTGGTGTAACAATAAGCCTTGATGACAATAAAAATAATCAAGCGTAAGCGTTTGCTGGGCGATTCAGACTGATATTTGTGAAAGGACTGGTATAGAGGGAATCTCAAACGAATGGCATTTAATCAAGTGAAAGGGAATAAAAAACAATGCCAAGATTTTGTTGCAGAATGCTCTGAATCAGATTGACTAGGCTGCAGAGACTCTTGGTCCAACATCCTGCAAGTGCAAATCTGCATTTTGTAAAAGAGTAAAAGATGAAAATGAAAAAAATCAATTTAATAGAAGTACACATGCATTCTTCATCCAACCACAAAAGGATGATAAATATTTTCTAAGCAAAAATTTCCCAATCTTGGAAACTTGCTATCTCCATTTTTACCGACTGGGAAAGGTCACCCAGTGCATCAACTGCTGTCACTGCAGTGCCTCTGACATGAAGGTCCTAGGTTTGAGTCCCAACAGTGGTAAGATTTTCAGCTTGTCAGCTGGGTCAAATTCAGGCACTGGAGGAGAATTCTAGAGGCCAGCTGCCCTGATCAGTAGTTTTCCGTGGTTTCTGCGATCAGCACCAGGCTAATGCAGTACCTTAACAAACAAGCCACAGACCACCCATGATCTTTCATTCCTCTTCCTTGTTCTATCCTCACCCCTTACACACACGCTTACATGCACTACACTATCACATTTGCTGGGAGACTGGTCAGGAGCTTACAGCCTGTCCCTGCTGAGACAGTGCCCCACTGATGGGAAATAGCTGGTTAGGAACCAACCAACCATCCATTATTACCCGCAAAATGAAAGAAAGGAGATGTACAAGTTGGCAGTTTACAACATGATCACACAAACATTATACAAAGTGAATTTTGAGTATATTCTGTTAAAGAATCCCAAATCACAAATAAGAGCAGGCCAGAGAAATTCTGGAGACACAGAAGGGAATATTCGTAGATGGCATCATTCAAAAGTGTAAAAAAGGTTGTTCAACACATGAAACTTGGAGAGACATAAAAAGTCAGAAGATATCAGTATGGAAGAAAGACCAAAAAGAAACAATCTACATGTGAGGATGAAGAGGTACTGACTAAAACCATGATTATGATGACTTTAGGGAACAAGAAAATAGTGTTAGCTCAGGTATAAGTTACATTCTCATCCACAAGATAATTTTCTAGTCACGTAGGCAATTTGCAATTTTATTTGGAGTAAATATTGAGAATTAGTTAAAATTATAAAAAATTCTATGGCAGTCTCTTCAAAATTGGAGGGTTGTCTTGTTTTCAATCGACTTATAATCAGATTAATATGTTATTTCAGTCTGTGATTATCAAATTGAAGTGCCTCACATTGGCTGGATATGCATTTATCACGAATTCTATTTCCACCCTGATTTGCCTATTATCTGATCTAGTACATGCTGCTCAACCCTTCCATTTCATACAAACACTGAACATTGAATCACTGAACTCGTGGGCATTTTCACATTCTTTATATTACAAAAAAGTCCAACTTATTTCCAACTTACCTTGATGAATTAATATGTGAATAGCACAGTTCACATTAGACCATTGAATGTAAAATAAACAACCACAAGTAAAGAAAAACTACAGTGGTTATCGTTCTCAAGTAGAAACTGTTAATTTTACATTCAAGTACATAATGTAAACTATCACTCACCAGGAGCTAATAATCATTTTCAGTAGTTGATTCAATATTGTTTGAAGTAATATTCTTTATTAATCCTTATCTAGGCAATCACGGTCCATTGGACCCAGAAACAAAATTTTTACTATTTTACATGAAACCTATCCAAGGTGTTAGGATAGTGTGTTGTGACTTTTTTTCTTATAGTTTTCTTTAAAAATTCCTGCCGTTGTAAGAAAGTGCTTTGGAATACTAAATAAAAAAATCTTAAATCTTTTTTTAGCTGCAACCTGGCAAGCAGGGTCCATTGGACCCAGGTCTCTTAATCTGCATGTAATATTGCATTTTGTGGTTTTGTTTGGTAAATTTCTTGATAACTGTTTCATGCCCAAGGGACGGACGGATGTTGGGTTGTGCAACGTCTTTTCGTGGGGAAGTTATTTGAAATTTTGTGTGAATGATTGTAAGATCGATGCTATCATAGCAATAGTTGTTGCAAGTTTTATATGTAGCAGAGTCAGGAGATTGAGTTTTTGAAGTTGTGTGCGGATCAGGTTTTGTGGGAAAACTGCATAGCGATGGGAATAATGCTGACCCTGACTGAATGTTAGAAAACGAGATCCTACAATTTTTTATTGTTATTGCTAATAATTTGGTTTGTTACCAAAATGTAAGGAGGCAGTAAAACAGGATTGAATAACAAGTGTTGTCTGTCAGTCTCACACGTTTTGGGGGAAGAAGCTGCTACCACAAATCAGAAAATTTGTAGCAATGCCAAAAAAGATGTTATTTATGCTGTTGGGTAAGAATTAGGAAACAATGAGATGTAGTATCTGTTCAAAACCTGTCTGTAATGAGCATAACCAGGGTAACTGTGTGCAATTGATAATAAGAGAAAAACTGTTTAATAAATAAATTTTAAATCTTTCAAAAGATTTTGTTATATGAAAATAGTATATTACAGAGTTTTGTTTCATCGTCCACGTTCAAAACATACTTACAGAACTGTAAGCATAATTCCATCACTCCCGGATCTGCTGACTGCCTGTCTGGTTGCATCATTAAAATTGGTTGCCTTGTAAAGGATTAATGAATTCTTCTATTACAAGTTACCCTTTCAATAAATGTCTTGAATAACTCAGACACAGTTCTGTGCTATCATCTTTGAAGTTCACTTTTTTTCATATTTTCAGAATGTGAAACTAGTATTGTAAGACTTTACTAAAAAACATTTTTCTTCATTTTTCAAAGGAAAGTACGTTTTCTGATGGTGTTTTGTATTGTAACTGTTGTTTTGTATTGTAACTGTGCTATGTTTGATTACTAGTCATTCAGAAGTATTTGTGCCAAATTTCAGCGCAATTGCTCCAGTGATAATAATTTTCTTGTCACATTCCTATGTAGACTTGTTCACTTTCGTAGAATAAATTGTTATTATTAAGAATTTTTAAGATTAATTATTAGTATTCATTATAATATATTTTCTTGTGTCCTTTAGTGCTGAATTTGAAGTTACCAGCTTACTCCTTTCTTGGCTGTGTATTATTAAAATTGATTTGAGCTCTTGGAATGGCGAGAGACTTCATTCCAGATATATAAAAGTCTTCCCAGTTATTGGAGAAATAAAGTAAGGTGAAATACAACATGTGTATTGATTAAAATAGCAAAAAAGATTTGTGTAAGTAATTATTTGTTGTTATGTACTTGTTTCAGTGATGCTGAAATTAAACGATTAATACGAGCTATCCCTGGGGGACCTCACTTGCTAAAGGATTATGTCAGTCATTTGCACAATTACATCCTTACAAAGGAGAAATTTGAAGGAAAAGGAAGTTTCCTTGCAGAGTAAATAATTTTTTAGATAATTGTGAATATGTATAATATGTGTTAATAAGTAGAATTGATTTTGTGTATTGTAATGAGCCGTAATTATAACGGTTAAATATCATATTTGTAAGTGATATATTTCATTGACTTGTGTCCCTGAATCCCAGCAAATGCAAAATGTTCACAATACTACAGAAAACATGTTGAAACTGCTCTAGAAGCTTTTTTTCCTCCCCTTCTTCTTCTAAAGGATCTTAGAATGATTTTGATAAACATATCAATGATTTGAAAACACATTTATGTTGTAATGAGCTCTACAGATAGAAACACCACGCCAGCAGGTGTGTTCACTGATAATCTCTGCATTTTCCCTTGATATTTCTTTCTTTCTTCTCTCTCCCTCTTTCTTTCTCTCTCTCTCCCTCTCCCTTTCTCTTCGCCATTGCCTTCCTCCTATTGTAGACAGTATGAGCAGTTAAATTAATAAACGCCTAATTTGTATTATGTGTGTGTGTGGGGGGGGGGGAGTCATGGTGGCGTCTTCATCATAATGCTGTTTGTGAACACTTGGTGCTAGAATTATTTTGTATCAGAAATATTATCTTTCTCACGTACTTCATATGTGGTGTAGAGAATGTTATATAAAGCTTCAGCGAAAAAGTGTTTTTCGGCAGAAATATTAGTCTTGTAGATCCCTAATACCTAGAAAGAGGATAATTTTTGTACCTTAATGTAGTATATTAATTACTTCCTCTAACATGTTATAATCCAGTTTGTGGACCCTTAAAAACGAAAAATTGGTCTGTCTGTGAACAATGAAAGTAGTTGAACAATAAGCAGGATTTTCCCCAAAACTGATATTCTGTCAATCTGGCTGATGTCTGGGCTCCTAGATTTCAAACCAGTGTTATACATTATGGAGTACTTTGCATCAAGCTTAAAGGAATTTTCAAATTTTTCTGGGGGAAAAAAAAAAAGAGAGAGAGAGAGAGAGAAAGTCTGTTCCGTAGAATCTTTGAAAAGTGCACAAGTGAAAATTTTTCTCTAAGTTCTGCACAAGTCAAGATTTTCCTCTAAATAAAATCTGTTCTTCAAAACAATATCTTTATGTACATAGTTTACAAATTATTTGCATATAAATTTTTTTCAAATATGAATAGTTTTTGCATAATTTTGGGTGAGATATGGGCAGTATTGAAAAGTTTTGAAAATCAGATTTTCTCAAATATTTTCTTTAAATATTTTGTGTGGATAGTTAATATGCTGGAATAACATGATATAAACACTATTTTGATATATCATTTGGATTTTTTGACAATATCAAGAATTTAATTTTTTTAAAAAAATTATCTCTGAAGTTAATATCTAAATTTGCAGCATTTTCTGATTGAAATGAGAATCTTGTCCAAAATATATTATTGTAAAACCAAAATTATATTTTCTACACATAAAAAAATTAGCATGGGGTCACCATATGAGTGAAATAGTCAATATTTACATTGACATGTAAATATACCTTAATACAATAAATAGTAATTGTTTTATGAGGAGAGAATCATTATCAGGAGACTTTTTGCAGTCAGAAATCAGCTAGAATTCTTCTAAAATTATTTCAAATATGTGCATAGATCCTGGTTTCTAATGCATTTAGCATCGTGAAAAATGTTTGGACTGACAAACTGAGTGAATGGAAGTTGAGTCAATTTGAAGCAAGCAGTGTATTTTCTTTAATATTCAGTGTAGGTGTAGGTATGAATAGAGAAAGTTAAAGAATAGAAAAGAATTATGTTAAAGAATCATATTGGCTGCCATGAGAAGCATAACATGATGCTCACTGATTTGATCAGTGTGGCTTTGAGCATCAATAGTAGATTCTCATTCGTGAGGAGTTAATGTTAGCTGAGCCAGAAAGTTTGTCATATCTTGCCTATTGTGGCAGCCTGTGTATTAAACCTAAAAATGTTTTTGTAAAAAATATCTTCCAGTGCTTTATTATGTTTCACATTTTTTAATAAATATGTTTAAGTTATACTTTTTGATGATTTTGTACATTGTAGTATCGCTAAACTGCATTTTGAACCTTCTCTACTTAAATATTGATTAAAGATGATAGTGGTTTAAAGCTGAAATTAAATACTTACTTTTAATATTTGCATATTAATATCCAGGACATTTGACTTTAATAATGTGTGAATGGTGAAGTAAGAAAACATGATGCCCTTTATTTTTGATTTTTTTGGCTATTTCAGAGTACATTTTATAAAAGAAATCTTGTATAAAAGATGATTGTAAGAGATGTTTGTCAGAGTAATACGTAAAACGTCTGCACTCAGTAAAAATGTTGCATACCTGGACTAGTTATTTGCATTCATTCAATTTTAGATTTCATGTAATTTTTATTTATAACTGCCTTATTTGTAATTTTATATACAATTTGTCTACTACTAATCTATCAGGTATTCTTCTAAGATGTTCCTACAATCTTTCCAGTTTTTCCAGCAGTGGTTCGATCCCCAGTTTATTTCATATCTATTTTCCTTTCCTTGAAAAATTCCAATTCTTGGCCTCACCCTTATCCACATTTGTTATAAGACCAGTAAGACAGTCTGGAAAGGCTATAAGTCATATTGACCACAGAAAATATGTTACTGAAGTATTTGGGCATCAATATTAATGGATAGATACTTTATCGCTTTTCTTTACATTCAACACCTAGTTGATTTGATTCCCTTAATATCCCTCGCTTTGAATTTTGATGCGCTTAGTAAACACGAAAATGTATGGGATTATTGCAATGCACATTCCGTTAAATTCAAGAGGGAAGTATAATGTATATTCTTAAAATTCCATCCCTCAAAACATACTCCAAAACTACACATTAGCATTGACATTATGTTAGGGCCCAGTTAGCAACAAATTTATTCTTATCCTACAATAATAAAAGCTACTACTAAGTTATATGTTTGTAAAAGCTTCATGCAGAATTGTTTTTGAATTGAGTCATTTGTATGGATCTCAATAGGCAAAATTCAAAATAGTTTTGATATTATTTTCATATACCGTAACACTGAGAAAAAGAAAATCTTGAATTGCTGGGAGAAGTAATGTTTTTTATTTTTCCTGCATGTGAAATTTACAAATTTATCTAGGAGTGCTTAAAGTAGCATAATTCTTATTATAACTAACTCAAGTTATCACAGTTTGAATGCTTGAAACAAAGCAGTTTCAACGAAGCACTAAAAAGCACATGTTCAGTATCAATATAATTTCACAAATATGTTAACCTTCTTCGTACATTAAAGATCAACATCGACAATGAATAGAACAATACATAAAATACAATTATTATCTATAAACTTCAAAACCATATTTTTTACCGTAAATTATGTATTTATTATATTTCAACTTCAGGATTTAGTCCTCTCTTTGTGATTTGAAAGGGACAGTTCGATGTCTTTTCATATCCTCATCATCATGGAATTCTGCAAAACATCTGTTGCAATATAGGTCACCATCACAAGTCACACATCGTATGATGGCATCTTCATTGCAGATAGTACACCATGGCAGCTCTTCTGTATCCTAAAACAGAACAATGATCTTGAAAAAGAGAGACCTCTTAAAATACTTGGAAACTTAGGGCACTTATGAACAAAACAAAATGTTGGATGTATTCCATTAAACTTAAGACATATTTCATAAAGTAATGCCATTTATTACATTTTGGTAAGTAAAGTAATGAATTATAATTTAATACAATTTTCCACTCTACCTCTGCTGCTGTACTTTCCAGTTCTTTTTCAGCATCATCGATACCCAGTGCTGCCTCATCCATTGCCTACATAATTAAACAAAAAATCATCAGAATAATCTGAATATATAATTAAATGAATGAAATACATTTCATTAAAACAAAATGCTTTCCCATCAAGAAAATTTCAACATTAAAATCAATACACCTATGATGTTACAACTTTCCACATGCCCCCATTTTCACCAGATCATGCATGCATACAAAAGTAAATTAACCAATGCTTTTTTTTTATTAGATGAATTTTTGTTGGCTTAAAGAATCCATTGTAGAATCAGTCACATGCCACAACTTTTTGTTTGGGCATAAAATATTTTCTGTGAGGTGGACCATCAAGGCAGGATGGTGTATAAAAATACTAGACTTTGAATTTCTTGTGATTCTCAAAACTACTGAGGAGCAATAGGAAAATCAGGCTAACATCTGCCACAATCATGCCAAATCGGCCAACATTACCTTGCAAGATGAGCACGGAAATTTGACAGAATGCTGTTTTATTATGATTTTGTGACCTCAGAATACAGAGCACTTCATTGTGCTTCTGGGGTTGATTTAGAAGATTTTTATTTTGCCTTTTATGTTATTTCGTTTTGGCACTGATATCAGTAAAGTTGGTAACCTACCCGAAAGACAAGGCAACACAAAGTAATTGGCAAGTTTTGTCTTTTTTCTGCAAGCGGGTGCTCCAGAGCCAGGTAGTGATAAAAATCTAAATGAGAAAGGAAGATTATACCAGCCAAGAATTTTATTTCTTTCATATATATACATAGGTTTTGTATGCTCATGTTGAATCCCATCCTACTTTTGAGCATGGCCTCTGATCTCTTTGAGGAAAAAATTCTCTGTATACGATATAACCCTTTTCAGTGTGAAGAACAAAAACTATAATCACATTGTTTCTTACGCAATTCCAAGATTCAAAACAGAGTCCGCATAGTATTTCTTAGAGGCAGCATTGCGAATGTATCAAATTTGTCATCATATTGGAGGTCATGTGATAGTAAAGAATAACTTGTTTCCTGCTGGTTAGGTGGTGTCATAAATTTTTGAGTTAAAAGAATAATTAAATGATTCAAATTTGAATTCTTTTAATTGCTCTTAGATGGTGATTTTTGATAGTTTACATGCCTTTATGCACCCCCTACTTTAGCCAGAATAAATGCCTTTTCCCGTCTACCTCTTGTAGATAAAATAAAAGTCTGAACTTCTGGGCTCTACTTATAAGATATCATGGCGGTGGTGGTTGTTTGTTTTTTCCCCTCGAAATGTAATTGCAGATGTAGGACATATCAATGATCACAATTAACTTTTTTGAATTCTCGCGAATTTAGATTTAGATTTGCTAATACATCTTTGAATAAATTAGCCCCACATGTCCCTTTGCTCCCTTCTACCATTGTGTCCCATTTTGTTCCTTTCTTCCAAAACCCTGTACCAATGCATTTTGTTCCCATTTGTCCTCTTGGTCCTTCCGCGCACTATTATTTAAAAACGGTGCCAAGACTCTGTACCAACAACCCTTCCCACAGAACATCGAGAGTGATAACAATTCTTAACTCATGAAAGTTAAATGTTTATTTTGAAAAACTAGAAATAACAAAAAACATTGTATGTAACACGTCCTCTGGCTTCTCTTACTGCAGTGTGTGAAGAGATGTTTATAATATGAATATTAACATTGGTAGTAAACTCAAAAAAAAGAGAGAGAGAGTTGTTCACTGCATAACTGTACAGAATATAAAATGGTGTTCTGTTGACCCAGAGATAAGTAGGTGACATCACTTTGTTGGGTACAGTTGCCACAGAAATGTAATGGAAAGAGATAAGTGAAACCTGCCAATAGGGAGATGTATTGGAATTTTTTGGATTACGGAGGTGAGGTGAAAAGTTCTCAGCCTGACCCAGAGATGGCACTCCTTTCAGCAAAATCCTATTTTTCCTGCCTGGGCACACTTAGCATTTGTTGGTATGATAAGTTTCAACTTTTTCTCTCCAGTACTTTGTTTACATGAATTTTTGCAGAAGATGTCTTGCATGTTCTTTGTGAAAATTGATAAACTTTAATATTGTGTGGTCATCAAATTCTTTGTTTGGGATGGATTAACCCCTAAGGAAATTCATCTATGGCTGACAAAAATTTACAGGGACTCTCCTCCTTCCATGTGAACTTAAAAGGTGGGTAGTTGAATTAAAATGTGATCGCAAATCCCTCAAAGATGACACCCCTGAAGGAAAGCCAAAAACTGCAATCACAATCAATAAAATTCAGATCATGTTGGAAGACATGCAAGTGAAGGTGAGTGAGATAGTCGAGTGTGGGAATATCAGAAGAAAGGGATCGAAACATCTTGCAGAAAGAATTAGGGATGCAAAAGCTCTTCACAAGATTGGTGCTGTATTTACTGAATGCCACTCAAAAGCAAATGGGGAAAACGATTTTTGCAATCATTGGACAGATTCAAAAGGGATCCATCAGTGCAGCGATTTGTCATGATGGATGAGACATGGGTCTACCAATTGATGCCAGAAATACAACAGCAGTCCAAGCAGTGTGTGGAAGTCGGTGTGCCAAAGAAAGGGAAAGATCATGGGCAGTGTGTTTTGGATTGCGAAAGGGGTTCTGTTAATTAATTACTTTGCAAAAGAGACTATAATTACAGGCAAATATTACTCCAGCCTTCTTGATCAGCTGGATGCCAAAATTCACAGGAAGAGACCTGACTTGAAGAAGAAGAAAATCTTTCACTAGGACAACGTACCTATGCTCAAAGGTGCTTTGGCAATGGGAAAAGTGCAGGATTTGGGGTGCAATTTGCTCAGCCATCTCCCATATTTACCTGATTTGGCACCATCAAACTTCCATCGGTTCCCAAACTTAAAGAAATTTCTTTTTCAGAAGCATTTCGCACCCAGTGAAGAAGTTGAGAGGGCCCTAGATGAACATTTTCACAACCTTCCAGACTCTCACTTCCAGGATGGAAGACGGATGTTGGAGAAACTTAGCTACGCTACGTGTGTTGAAGTCGAGAGCAATAATGTAGAAAATTAAAATCAATTTTTATCTGACAATTACTGTCTTTCATTGTCAGGCCGAGAACTTTTCACCTAGCTCTTGTATGTTCCTCCAGGGCACCATTTTACAAGGCTTTTTCAGATGACAATAGCCAGTTTGTGATTGAAGATCCACTTTTTGATATCCTTGATAGGTACATATTTTCAAGATTTGGCGCTTGTCTTACTAGGAAATATTTAAAATAGTTACCAATGCCTTATGATAATTTTAGAGTAATATAAGAACTATCAATATTTTTTCTCTCTTTGCAAAAGTCTCTTTATCTTGATTTCAGCAAAGTGTTTATCCTAGTTTTTGTGTAGTTCTCGTCAATTCGAAGCTACCTTTCTCTACCATAAAATGATATTCGTCTAATCTGCGCACAAAAAATGTATTCAAACATTTGTTATCAATTTCATTAAACTCTTTACAGTTATACACTACAATGCCCAGATTCTTTAAAAATTAGAAGTAAAGTTGCAAAATCTAAATAATACATAGTGTGTAGTATTAGAGTTTCCTAAAAGCTCCATTCTCAAATGAATCCCTCTCCAAAGTGTGAAAATGAATTCTTTAACTTTGAAAAAATGTTCCAATAATATCTGATATATATCAAGCCAGGGAACTTTAGCTTAGGCGAGATCTATTGTTAAAAAAAGCCAAGGTATTAACTACTGCCCATTTGAATGTTAATAGTAAGGGATGAGATTATCCTTTTAAATCTCTACAATCTCTAACTCTACAAATGTATTTACGCGCACGATCCCACACATTCGCAAACCATTAACCATACAAGAATGTCTCAAATTTTCTAATTAATGTTAAGTCTGATCTACGCAATAACGCCTCTCAGTCCCTGTTAGGATGTCTATGTCAGTTAATATAAACGTTACTGATGAGTTATGACTCTCGCTTATGAATTTGACGTTTCTTTTTCTGGCCAGTTAATTATCTTTGCCTTACATCTCAATTTTGTTTTGTTATTTCTTCACAAACCAATGATTAACTCAAGATAGTGCTAGTTTAAATTATTGCAAAATGTGTCTACAAATATTCAAGAACTTTTTTGTTGCAGTGTTTAAGTTCTTATGTAGATAGGTTTAGTTATCATTTCTTCCCAACGTTGCGCGGACGCAATGCAATGTTTACTATTTTATTTTACCTACACCACTCGTAGAAAGTGTTCGTGATTTTTTCCACAGTACATAGATTCCTTAATGACTTTAAAACTATTTTTATTGGATAAATATATATTACATGAATACACATTTTTAATTTTTTCTCCATAAATTCGTTTGCCCTATTTTAACACTACTATACCTGTCTTTTGACCTTGAAATTGATAATCAATGTGAATTTTTGATATCACACTGCAAAATATAATATGTACAAATAAAAGTGTTAATATTTGAGTAGAATTTGATTTTCAAAATATTTTTTATAGACAAATATTGTGTTACGTTTACGCAAAATTCCATTATGATGCCACGAGAAACAGTTCAAAGGAGCTTAAAATTTTGAAAGACAGAAGCATAATGAGATTTTCATTTGTTACACACCCTACTAAGCAAGGAGTATTTACATTTAACAACATAAAATACTCTAAATTGTATTGATGTTGATGTTGAGTCCAAACTAATACTCTCTCTTCTTAGAATGGGAGGGACCACTAATAGAAACCCAAAAAGATACTGGAAAACTAAATTGCAATTTGCCATCTCATATTCACACTGGAATTTAGGGTATTATAGTAAGAAGGAAATGAGAGAAAGACAAAAGCTTCATGTTGATTATAAAAATTAGTGGGGATAAGAATGCATGCAGACAATGTGATGTTCGTATTATTCAGACAATTTTGGAATATAATTTTGGTTTTTACACCTTATTGCATAAATTTGAATTATTTTTGCATATAAGTCAAATTAGTAAACATTAATTGACAAAATACTGATATTTCTTTAAAACAAAAACAGTACACTTCCTTTCCAAAAAACTTGCAACGTTGCATATAAGCAGCGTTCAGCTTCAACAAAGAATAAAAATATTTTTAGCAAACTGGTTTTGCTCTCTTTGGAGACTTATCAATATTTCACTACAATTTATTAACTAAATTAAGTATTTCACTGTTTGGGAAGAAATGAGTTAAGAAAATTCTTAACCCATTCAATTAATTTACATCCTGCAACCATAGAATTCATAAATGCATTGGGGATTTACTAATTAAAAAATTGAGTGTTGGAACTTGATTGCAGAGTACCTTAATTTTACATTCATAGTCCACACTGACCTACAATGTGTGTCCTCAGACTATGGTGTCCTCATTCATATTTTTTAGAAACTTACCCTTCTTACAACTTGGTCAACTGCCTGGTTGTCTTCAGATTCTTCTGATTCATCCTGTACATTTTCTCCAGTCTTTGATTTTTTCATTCTAACAAAACAATAAAAGAAAATATGTCAAGCATTTTGAAATATTATTTCTTAAATTTCATTTCATTTACATTTTTTCTAAATATAATATCCAACATACATTTCACTTTTTATCCAATACCGATAGAAAATTCTTACACATCACAGAATATTTACAAAGTATCCATTACTAAGTATAATCCATTTGAACTTGACCTTATACCAATATAAAAGAAGAGACTGACCCTCTGATTTATCAACACAGAACAAACCTACTGAATTTAAAAATGCAAAATTGGGAACATGGATTTCTTCTGCAACACATGTAACCTATAAGGAAGGATTTTTTCCTCCCAAATTCATCATCTGAATGGCTGAAATGGAAAAGACACTGTATACATGTAAGAAAGTTATAATTCTGCAATGCACCTAGGCATAACAAGATGTTGCTGTAAATACAATTACTTCCACTTTATACTCTATATAAATTATCTCCACCAGATTATAGCAATAAATAAATACCCAAACAATGCTGAGTGCTTCAGTTAATGGAATATATTACTCTAAATTTTGAGCCAAAAACTATGTGTTCACAGCTTCCATAGTTCTATATTATGCAAGCCAAATTCTATCTTAACTAGAATCATCAGAGCCATAAGGAGTAGTATCAATTAACAAGTTTTCAACACTGGAGTGCCCACTAGTGTCATTTCTAATCCTAGCGCAATTTAATAGCTTGTATGTACTTGGTTTCTTTACACCGAACTTAGGAGGTTTCTCTATTTTTATTTCGTATGTAGAAATTGAAAAATCATATATTTCTTGAAAAATAATCAAATTTAACTAAAAAGTCCAGTGGCATCATTCTAGCTCCTTCAGTTCTGGCCACATCCAGTAGCTGCCATTTTATGTATTTCTACACTGAGAATTCTGAAGAAATGTTCAACAGATTCTTCCACTTTGAATTGTTTTCTAGTCCTTTTGTACTATAGACACAAATACTGGTGAAATATTTTAGAATTAATCAACTGGCTGCTTGACCTAAAAAATTATTCTGCTTTAGTATAAAACGTAAGAAAACATTTCATTTATAAACAGTACTCATAAAGATGAAGAAGCTATTTTCTTTCACACTAGATTTATTAACAGTTCCATGGCATGAAAACCAGGTGAAGATGCCATATAATTTGAAGCATTACATGAATTTAATTTCAGAATGTGGTCACAAAGTTGTTAAATGTAGATAGAGTTCTAATGAACACCTGTTAATTCAACAAGATTTGTTTATGGTATAGCTGATTATCAGTTGATTTCTCATATGCTATTTAAGAGAGATTGATCAATATTATTTGGCTGTATAAATTATGTAAATTATATGTCATAAATTCTACAAAGCAATAAATCGTATTATAAATGAGAATGTACTAAAAATGGTCTTCCATCCCAGAATGTATTTGGTATGGCTTACTCAGAACACAATTGAATTAGTAAAATGAAAGACCAAACTGCAAAATCATCATAAATCATATTCATCTGCTTTTTGAAACACAGATTGTAACTCTTAGTAAGGGGGTAAAGGATGCTACACGATTACTCTGTTTAACTTTATAAATCTAAGCAAGCTGGATAGTAATCCTTCAAAAATTTGGAATTGTATTCCAACTAAAAAATCAAGCAGTTGAATATCTTCAAATCTAAACTATATGAATGTTTCGTCACCTACCAAATCTTTATATTAACAGATTGGCAGAGTTCTTTGCTAAAGCTTCCGATGCATCGCCAACCAAGGTTTTACACGTGGAATGTCCTGAATTAGTTCTGCTTGGTAATCACAATTGTATTACAATTGAATATATTATTATTATACTTAAATAATTACCAAGTAGGCTAATGTTAGGAATAGATGACATTCCAGCTGTTTTATTAAAAAATTGTTACCTGGCTCTTGCTCAACTATTATTGTTGTAATCACCTTAAAGTAAGGACCAAAATGCAACTTATGAAACCTGTTACAGTCAAATGGGCATATGTACTGAAAAGCAACATATAGGCATTTTCTTTCTTTTTGTGTTGGCAATTGTTGTTGCCAACATTACCAAAATTAACTGATATATATATATATATATATATATATATATATATATATTGTAATAATCTGAATAGTGACTTGTTATTGATTTATGTGTGCAACAAAAAGAAGACAACTTCCGGAGATTCTGCCAACATTTAAACCGTGCATGTGCAGTGTGATCGATTGCCATTATTTCAAGCGAATTGCACAATTATTTCCAATTATTTGTTTTATTTTAGTTCACATCTTATAGTGCTTTGAGTGAAATTACGCATTGTCATTACTTTCCTCAGCTACTATTTAGTTTGTTGTTGTGTTTTTTTAAATTTTATTTTATCCAGTTAATTTATTACTTGCTCTGTTTCATTATACTGAGTTATTTTAAAATTAGACTGGCTCTACCTAGGTCATATATAGACCTGTTCTTGTGTAAAAATCACATGAATTCATTAGCATCAATGAAAATAAACATTGTTGGTTATGGAAATAATTAATAGATGAAGGGACTTGTGTCACCCACATCTTTGTTACATCATGGGTGGCAAAATTAATGGAGATAAGCAAATCCATTTTTGCTACGAGTTCTGTATTTTTAAACCATTTATAACAGAAATTTCCCTAACTTGAGATTTATTGTTCAGAAGCTACATTGAAAATTCAGTACTTGTCATTACATGAATTATACAATATTAATTATTTATAAAAATATCATCTCGACTGGGATATTTCCAAAAACCAGGGTCATTCCGGTTCTAAAGATAGGTAACCCTGCCCACATTGAGAACTACGGCTCTATTTCCTTGCAACCCAATTTCTCGAATATACTGAAAAATCATATTTATGACATACTTTACAACACGTTTAAGCCTATAATTTCAGACTTTCAGTATCATTTCATTAAAGACAGGTCAGTTCTAACCTCTTAACATGTTTGGTACAAAATCATGAATTTCACCCTCAAGTAGATGTAATATTTACTGATCTTTTCAAGACATTTGATACTTTGAGTCATGATATCATTATTGATAAAGTTAGTTTATTGAATCAACCGTCTAATTGTATAAAGTTGATGGACTTCTTTGCCTCAAAGGTCCAATGTATATAACAGTGGGTATCAATCGTGGCCCTAAAGATATACATCTGGCGTGCCCCGGAGTTCTAAACTACATTTTCATATACCACTAATGATGCTGGCAATAAATTGATTTTTTTTTTAAACTTTCATATGCAGATAATATGAAGTTTTTTTACCCATTAAAAATATTAATAATTGTTTGCCTTTATAGAGAAATCTTGATGAATTTGGTAGGTGTCAAGTGAACAAATTAGTGCCAAACCCTGGTAAATGTAATGTCTTATCATTTTATAGGAAACATAAAATCGATATTAATTACACAATTGTAATATACAATCTCAAATGTTGAAGATCTTATTTTATTCATTGGTTAGATGGAAACTAGAATATGCTCGCATGGTATGGTTTCCTGACGCTGCCCTCGAGTCTAGTAAATGAAGATTCACTGAAAATTTATATCTTAAGTCGACTGGTGCCTGTCCTGTAAGAGAAATATCGAGTGAGATATTATACAGTGACTTCTAACTGTTCAGTCTTGTTGGTTCAAGAGAGCTACAGATTATCATTTATTTCATTAAATTAATTTGCAGAATGATTGATTCGTCAGGTGTCTCACTCTCTATTCCTCAGCATGATGTGCGCAATTTTCCTCTGATCTATATTCCAATTCCCATTCTATAGTCACTAATATTGTTATGCGCTCTACGGTTTCGATTGATTTGTTTCATGACTCTATGGAGTCATTTTTGCGCAATGCATATCAGTATGTAAATGTCTAAGATGGGTAATGTGTTTATATCTTGTAAATAGGCATAATGCCTGATAGATTTAATTTTGAATAAATAAATATGACTCATCAAATTCCCATTGGTGTCGAACAAAAATGAATAAGAAATGTGTCAGATAAAAGGCAATCATTTCACAACAATATACATACTCTATTGAAGCATAAATTCTGAAGAGTGCTCTACTGATGTAGATAAACATTTGTGCAGAATTAATTCTTGCAAAGACTTAAAGAGTTAAAACAACTTTGCTGGGCAGGATGTTGAAGAGCCAATAGATCTGTAGGACATTATTGAGCATGATACAGTCTCCAGAAAAATATTATCATTACAATGGTTGCAGTAAAAAGAACCCCTAAGGAAATTCTCTATGGCTGACAAAAGATTTACAGGGACTCTCCTCTTCCATGTGAACTTAAAAGGTGGGTAGTTGAATTAAAATGTGAATTCGCAAATTCCCTCCAAAAGATGACACCCTGAAGGAAGCCACAAAACTTGCAATCAATCAATAAATTCAGCATCATGTTGGAAAGAATGCAAGTGAAAGGTGAGTGAAGATAGTCGGTTGGGAATATCAGAAGAGAACGGATCCGAAACAGTCTTGCGAAGAGACAATTAGGATGCAAAGCTCTTCACAGATTGGTGCTGTAGTCTCGTACTGAATGCCACTAATTAAGCAATGCGGGGAAAACGATTTTTCATCCATTACAGATTCAAAAAGGATCCATTCAGTGGCAGCGATTTGTCCATGTATGGATTGAGACATGGGTCTACAAATTGATGCCAGAACTACAACAGCAGTCCAGCAGTGTGTGGAAGTCCGGTTGTGCCAAAGAAAAGGGAAAGATCCATGGCAGTGGTGTTTTGGATTGCCGAAAGGGGTTCTGTTAATTAAGTTACTTTGCAAAAGAGGCTATAATTACGAGGCAAATATTACTCCAGCCTTCTTGATCAGCTGAGATGCCAAAAATTTCAACAGAAGAGACCTGACTGAAGAGAAGAAAATCTTTTCACTAGGACCAACGTACCTATGCTCCAAAGGGGCTTTGGGCAATTGGGAAAAGTGCAGGATTTGAGGTGCCAATGCCAGC